TATCATATTATCTCAGGATACTTTTTTTTTCAGTCTCAAAAGAAATTTTGTTTTTTACTTGTGAAGTTGCATAGATATTCCCATATGGGAACATTAGGCTCACTAGTCATGAAGATTACTGTTGGCTGTTTGATCATAGGACTTTGGTCTCATCCATCACTGTTTATTGAATAGCTGTATCCCACACTTTCCATTTTCTCAGTACTTAGCTACTTGATTTATGTTTTCAATCCTCATGTATAATTTTAAGTAATTCATACATGTCTTGCATTAGTAGGCATATACATATTTTCTGTCATTTCAAATTAGCTAAATTTAATTTAGAAACTGAAATTAGTTTTCAAACTTTTCATGAAAAAGATCTCAATTCTTAATTGTGAACTTTAAGTTTTTGCATCATTTCTTGACCATTTTTTTCATTTATTTCCATAAATATGAAATGGGGAAAAGATCTGAGAAAATATTTTCTTTGTCGTCAAATGAATTTGGTTGGTTCAGGGAGTTTTGCCCAACAGATAAGACTTTAATGGTTGTCCAAATCCAAATTACTTATTTATTTTTTTTCAAATATGATCTCCCTACCTTTATAATACCTCTGTAACAGGTGAGCCTGAGTGGGCTAGTCATTGAGATTGACTTTCCACAAGCTACAAAGAATTTATTTATAAATCTAGGAAGACAATCATGTGTGTAGCTGAGTGAGCACACAGTCCACCAATTTGAGGAAATTTATGTTTGGAACAAAGAAACTGATTTAGAGACTGCTAATACAACAACATATAAGACATTATTCACAAATGTTCCACTATTCCTCCACATCAATAACTCCAAAATCATTGAGACAAAGTTCTACATCAAAAACATTAAATTCCTAATTCTGCACATGTAACTGTTCATTAATAAAACCTTCTATAAGAGTCATTAACTTGAACACTATATGGAACAAATTATCCAGTAAGCTATTATACTCGATACATAGTTCAGTTATATGTACTTTAGACATCCTGGTAATAAATTCTTCAATTATATCATTCAACAAGACTATTACTTCTTTAATAAATCTCACTACATATACAACTGAGTTCTTTTTTAGCATATTATTATTTTCACACATTATCCATTATATGTTGTTAGACTAGAAAAAATAGCATTGAATACTTACAAAAAGTTTGTATGATGGAGGTTTTGAATCGGCTGAAGGACTGCCATTCTTCTCGTGTATTCTCTTCTGCCCACTGTCGTAGATTCAGCTGACCTCTAGAACAGCTGTAGAGAACTGTTGAAGGTTTGTCTGGCCACAAGAAACACCGGGGAGAACCGGTGTAGGTTTGTCTGGCCTCAAGAAACACAGGGGAGAACTGATTTTGGATCCAAGAACATGATATGTTATATGTATTTCCATGAGTTATTACGATTTATCAAGTAGCATTGCATATCCAGTCCACAAGTAGGTCCTTCATCTAATTGGATTACATATGCTGAATCACTGCACACTCATTGAACCCAAACTGGACACTAATTAGATATGGTCAGAAGTGTCAAACGGCTGCCTGTTTGCATGTATCTCTCCTTTTTGTTTATTGATTCATTTGCATAGTTAGTGAAGTTAACATAAACTTTTCTGTAGCCTTTCTCTCTGTATTGATTGCTTCTGTTTACATGGGTAAGAACTGCCTGATGTCACAATCTGTAGACTTGTCTCAGTCGAGTTATATATGTTACTTTAATATAGACATTTCCTTATTTGGACAAACGTCTTTACAAAGCTTTATTATACACTGCAAATGACAGGGATGTATGGCATACATTAAAAAAGAAAATAAATTTTCTCTCCTCAAAACATTTGTATAAAAAATGCCTCAAATGCTTCACATCTAACCCCACTTAAATGTTTATCCAAGTCAATAAAAGGAAGAAAGTTTTGCAAGTTTTTAAGTCATGAATAAAATTAATAATGGAACTTTTTAAGATGCTTGTGTCAGAACAAAATTGAAATAGACTACATATGTTAAAAAGAATGTTGTTTTAAATGGTGTATTTGTCTAGTTTTTGATATGGTAAGAAAGTTATTGTATTATGTCATACACCACCTAATCAAAAAATAGAGCATTACAAATTTCTGGATAAATACATTGTAAAAATTAAGTAAGAATACAATAATTCCACTTTTACCTCTTGCATTGTTTGCTTGGGAACAAATCATAGAATGAGTTCATGATTCCCATATATGCCTAGTTAGTATTATGGTATTTAAACTTTGTTTTTATGTAAGCATAGAATACAGGAGGAGGATAATCAGGTCCTTACTTTTTTCTTCTATATATGTAAGGTTTTGCTTTGGATAGTAAAAACCTGTTGTGACTGTATTGTTAATTGAAATTCATAGCTATCTGTAATATATAATTGTTTTTATTGCATCAAATACTTAATGAAATATACCACCATCACAGTAATTGTGAATATGCTCTCTTAATAGACAAAGGAATGGGTGTCAACTATGAAAATGAATGGAGAGGTTTATGCTGTTAGCTTTAATCGAGATGGATCCAAAATGTATACTCATGGAGGTAAGATCATTATAGAATTGATAATTAAAAAATTAAGCTTACTTGACATGTCAAGCCTTCTTAAAACTGGCAGGAAAATGTCTTTACTGTTTAGTTGTTTCCAAAAGTTGGTTTGTTTTATACTGCGTAATATATTGAAAATGATTTACATGTATTTTTGGATTGTTTACATTAAAGTAATTGACCTTGAGCATGATTTCTGATGCAACTTTTGATAAATATATATAGAAATCATTAATTCACCTCTAGTGTTGTGAATTATTTAAATCTTCTTTCAAATAGTCTGTACAAGGTTATTCTAATTTTGAAAGTTGTAGCAGAAGTTAATCGACTTAATTTTTTAATAAACAATTAAAAGAGTTTTCTGTGGCTAAAATACAAAAACAACAATTAAAATTTTAACAAAATAATTAACAACTGTCTGAGTAACTCATTTATAATGTGCAGTTTATAAAATTTCTGATGCTTTTGATGCAAGTCCATCTAGTGACTCATATATCATGAAGAAAATGGGAGAACTGGAATGTTAAAGTTCCAAAGATATTGTAAACAGATTTTAAAAATATATTTTGATTTTATAACTATCTTTAAGAATGCCCAAAACCCAAGTTTCCTCTACCCATGGGAATAACTTGTGATTTTGTAAATGTTTTAAATTACTAGTGTTTTGTTAAAATATTAAAATGAACAAATTCTTAAGAACTGAACATAAAAATATTGTTGAACATGCTGAGAAATCTGTTATAAGGTTGCAGCACAATTCAAAACCCACAAATAAATACTAGAAAATGAAATAGCAAAAATTTACTGGTATCTGGATAAAAATCTATTTATAGATAATACAGATAATTAATGTGGCTGAAAATAAAATCCTATGTAACAAGTTTGTGAAATTTACTGAAATGGATCTCTATATTCTTTCAAAATACTTTTGTGTGTTCATAATTTTAGTATTTCTGAGCATTTTCAAGCGCTTAGTGTTTTAGATGTTAAAATTTCTGTACATGTAAGTTGTGTGTTGTTCAGTGTTATATGTCAGTGGAAATCTGGCTTTGTATGCATGAGTGTTGTACTGTAGTGTGAAATTTCATTGACTATTTTATTTCCTATGAATGTATTAACTTTATTTTCATTCACAGTTTAAGCTATAAATGAACAAAAAGCATAAAAGTGTAACATTTTAGTACATACATATTTTTGGCAGTGAGGTTTATAGTTCATCTTGAATATTTGCATCTCTGTTTACACACTTTTCTTACTGTAGAATAACTTTAATCTAAAATCTGATGTTAAACCAGTTTGTTCAGTTATATGTGAGTCACATGCAAAGTCTCCTAATCTCTTTTACTTACATTAGTTCATAAACAGCGACTTTTTTTTTTAAATCAGTCCTGCATTAAGCTAAAATTACTGTTATATTCTTTGAATAAATGGATTATTCAGAAACCATATGTAAAAGTGCTTTTGTTTAAAGCTTTCACCTTACATCTGTTTGATTTTAGACTTGTGGACAATGGAGTGAACCCTTTTGTTAGAACAATTTTCATTTGATACTCAAGATGTATCGTAACAAGTTTTTAGTCGTTGCTCAACAAAGTTCACTGTGGGGAAACGTATGTGAGATTTGACAACAAATATTTGAGTATATGCTCTCATCACTGGCAATAATTTGTATACATTATTGTTTGTTGATCTGCTCTTTTTCATTACTGCTCTCTTATCCCCCTTACTTGGAACTTTTGAAGTAATTTCATTTTGGTAACTTTTTAGACCAGTGTTTTCTATCTGATCTGTCTTTTCTTGCTTTAGTCAAGCTATCGGTCAGATGTTTTCTGTGATATTGTTTAAAACTTAGGTAATTGGATTGTATTTTTAGTTATGATTTCTCTAGATAAATATTCTGTTAAAAAAATAATTTTTTGTCATATTTTCTAGTAACAACAGAATGTTACTGAGATTTGTATCATTTATTTTGACTGACAGTAATTAAAAGACACTGAGATATGAAACATGTATCTTGGTTGACAGCAGTGGTAAGGTACTGATATTAGAGTTGTGTGTCCTGGCTGATTGTAATAAAAGTGTACTATGATCGGAGTATTGTCTTCTGACTCACAGTAATTGAGAGGTACTGAGACCTGAGTAATGACCAGACTGACAACAATTGAGTAGTACTGAGATCTGAATCGTGTTCCAACTGACAGTAAGTGAAATGTACCAGGATCTGAGCATGTATTCTGACTGACAACATCTGAGAATACTAAAGATCTGAAGTGTGTCCTGATTGACAAACTTTTTTTGAAAGAGACATTTTTGATAAAGGATTATTTATTATTCAGTCTTCTAATCTTTTCAGAAGTTTGATTAAATTCAAAGGTGTATAGAGAAATGTTGTATTTTTCCAGTCTATGTAAAATCTATCATTCTTTACTGCAGTTTTCTTACCTTCTTCAGTGATGCAACTCTTAAAGAGCTGAGTTTTGTTAACGGACTTGCATGTGTTATTAAAGTGAAGGTCATTGAACTTGATATGTTTACATATTTTGAATCTGAAGATAGTCTTTATCAAGCAGGGTATGATTCATATTCATTAAGAAACTACAAGTTATCCTTTGTAGTCAGGCAACGATATGTATCAAAGTGAAAGGACAGCATTATGACTTGCAGAATTCAGACAATTAGAGTATATGGGAATTACAGAATGTGATTTACACTACGATGCTCCATTCTTACAGACCTTATACAGAGGATATTAAGGTAATGTTCTTACTAAAATTAACCTCTATTTTGAAATACTGATTACTACAAGGTGTACCTTGATTTGGTTTAGATTTAGGTCAAGTATACGTCTGGGACATGAATTCAAGATTGTGTGTCCATAGATTCTACGATGAGGGTTGTGTAAAAGGATCTTCACTCACTGTCTCTCCAAATCAGCAGTACTTGGCAGCAGGGTACGTAGTACAAAGACAGCTAATGTGATCTAAAAATAATTAATTTTTATAACTTAAACATTGAACATTAAGTATTTATAATCATTTAAGTATTAGTTTTTGCTGTAGATATGGTATCGGTATTTCATGTAAAATACACTTACTTCAGTTCCAAAACATACATACCTTCGCTGATGCTATTTCTCGATCTTCATCTTTACCATCTAACTTTGTATTCACTTGCTCCAGTCTTTATATACCCCACTCGACTGCTCTCAGCAATATTTAACTTGCAAGACTTTACGCCATCCCTCACATGCCCTCTATGCAGGTACTGTATATAAGCACTGTATGCAGACAGTAATATCACTTTTTTCCTTCATTTTCACTTTCTAATAATTGAGAATTCTTTGTTTTGTTATCCAGAGATGTATTTAGTTGAATTTGTTTTTTCCTTAAAAAAAATTAAAAAATTGGATTTGAATTCCCATGTAACGGTTTCATGCAGTTATTGTTCTTTTCTCTTCTAGAGTCCCTATTGATTTCTTTTGGATCCCACTTAGTAGTGGCAAGTGTTGCCCAGTCTGGTATCCTTGTATTTAAATTATGCACTGGCAACCTTTATATCGGTTCCTGGTTGCAATGGGCTCTATTAAGATGAGGTGTTCCATAAGACCATCTGGACGTAATTCTGGATGGTGATATCTTATTACAATATTTCTAATGGACCGCTACTCGTGGACTATCATGAGTAAAGCTAAAGGGGATTTTGCCAGTCCCTGCTGATCTTAGAACTGAATCAGACGAGATCAGTTTGCTTTTAAAAATTAGGGAATGTGGTTCACCTGTTGCACTGTCTCCAAAAGCCTGTTCCTCAGGACTCCCCATTGCTTATGTTTCCCCTTTACTTCTACTAGTGGAGCTTGGGAGTCCTTACCACACCCAGTTCCCAGTCACTGGGGTGGTGGACAGAGGATTGAGTTCTCTCCAATCTCGGAGAAGAGGGTGAAGTTTGGGACTTTCCTGTCTGGGTCCTTGGAAGTTTTTCCAGATGTTGGTAGGAGCAGGAACAACCTCTGTGGGAACCTACTCGTAATACAAGTCCAGATTTGACATTAGCTATCCAGTGGGGGGGGTGCTTGGACCCTCTTATGAACACTGTCAGGTCTTATGTCGTTCATGTAGGGGGTCCACTGTCTCCTCATAAATCTGAACACGATATGGTCCCATCTTTGGTCCTTGGTGGAACAGTGTTCCTCATCCTCTCCATAATTCCATGGGTAAGTGGAATTCTCCTTGCCCACTTGGTGGAGGAGTAAAGACAACTGTTTGTAAGTCCAGACTGGATGAGTTCTGGACTTTGGTGAAGTATGGCATATGATTCTGCCAATCCAAGCCTGGGATGTTGCCTTTTGGACTCTTCAGGTTGATCAGAAGGATTGTCCAGTTTGGTTCTGATTTCTTTCTTTCATAAATCTGGTAGTTCAAAACGCATCATTCTATGGTTGCTGTTAGGGATCCTATCACAAAGATATATATATATATATATCTACAGTCCAACTGCCATGGCCACCAACATGGGATATGGGTACCATGACTCCTTAAATCCAACCTGAGTTGTGGAACCTTGGCTGTTTGGTTGGGGCTGGACCATCATACTTGTATTATATTCCACCCTTTTCAATTTTCTATGTAGTTCGGGGTGAAGAGCGTACCTGTTCTGGATGTAGTGTGGTGTTCTCCACTTTGATTCCACTTCTCGTGATACATATGTGTTCTCTGCAGATGCTTTCTGTATGATCTCTGTCCTCACTGGCCTCTCCACCTTCTCAATGTGGGATTCTAGCTATTAGTGTCAGCAGAGGTATGTATGTTTTGGAAGTTATCATTTTCCTGAACTGAAAATGTATTTCCAAACATACTTACCTCTGCTGACACTCTCCCTCCCTTCCTCCACAGTAAGAGCCAGTGTTAGTGCCCGGAAGAAGGTAAGTCTCGAAAAAGTGATTTTATTGTCTGCATACAGTGCTTATATACAGTACCTGCATAGAGGGCATGTGAGGGCTGGCATAAAGTTTTGCAAATTAGATATTGCCAAGGGCAGTCGAGTGGGTTATATAAAGACTGGAGCAACCAAACAAAACATTAGATGGCAAAGATGAAGATCAAGAAATAGCTGTTAGTGTCAGCAGAGGTAAATATGTTTGGAAATACATTTTCAGTTTAGGAAAAAGATAACTATCGTAATGTTTCCAGTTTAAATTGGTTGATATTTTTGACCTATTACCCAGTTAGAGATATTTTACATAAGTTTTTTATTTTTAAATTCCTATCAAATTCATGTAATTCAGATCATAAAATGATTTTTTTAAAGCAAGTATAAACACATTTGATCCAGGTAAAGCTCTGTCAAAGTTTATTTTCTGTGTATGTGTTAGCTACTTCTACATTATACCTAATTTTGTGCTGATAGAGTGGAGAGAGGGCAACTAGTTAACAGCAGCCATCACTAACTCTTGGACCACTCTAGTTGAATAGTGGGATATGATTGTCATTCTTATAACACACCCACAACTTCAAAGTGTGCAGCTTGACTAAGATTCACAGTTTGGCAGACTAACGAACAGACCATGTCCATCCGTAGATGAATTATTACATAAATAATGTAACTATTAGACATATTTTGTTTAGTGCTAGACATGGAACATGTCAAAGTGAATAAAGTACAAGAACAAATTTTATTTTGTAAATTTCATACTTTCATTTAAAAGAGAAATTAAATTGATGAGGATCTTGAAATTGGAACTTTTTAAAATGTTTTACTTTTATGTTTCTTCAATTTTAGATTGATACAAACCATTATTTAAAACAACTCATTGTATGAATTGTTTTAATGCAAACCTATGAAAATTTTTCCAGGTCTGACACTGGTGTGGTAAATATTTATGAAACTTCAAACTTAGAAAACTGTCAGAACCCCAAACCTACAAAAACTTTGTTCAATTTAACTACTCAAGTTACGAATCTGAAATTTAACTGCACTTCTGAACTTTTGGCCATGTCATCATTTATGAAAAATAATGCTGTCAAACTGGTAAGTCTCTTGAGTAAAGGTTATGTGGTTGGAGTTTGAGTAAAAGTTATTTATATACATATATATAGTATCATTTTAAGACAGTTTGCTGAACTATTATAGGTAAAATGTTCACAAATTTTGTGGAGGAACATTTTTTTATCTATTTGCTTGGTACATTGTTAGAGACAATTCTCTCTTTAAATAAAACTGTATTTAGTTTTTGTTTGTTTCTCCTAGTTTTATATAAAGGAATATTGTACATGTGCTCCTTTGCAATTGAAATGCTGAGTTTGTGTGGAAAGTTGGTGATGAAATACTGTGGTTACTCATAGATTCTGAGTAAAATGTTTAGAATTGACACAGAGCAAATTTACTGTCTGTTAATAACTTCAGATAAAAACATTTCTTATACATACAACTGTTTCTAAGTAAGAGTTAACCATAAATTAAAGCAAGAGTGGATTTTTTTCTATTATCAACTGTAGCAGTAATTTATTAGAAAACCTTTTCAAATACATGACTTGAACTCTTCAATTCTGTGTGTGCTTCTTGTATGTTGGAGGTTAACCTGCAAGAAAGTTGGAGAAATGGTGAAAACATTAACAAGACTTGAAAAACTAGAAATTATCTTATTTACCATACTAAAAACAACAGGAAATTTTTCAGTTAGAGTATGTGCTTGTGTTGTTGAAACATCAAATATTTAGCAACTTGTTTTTTTTACAGTAAAGACACTTTAATTTTAAAAAATACTTGCATGTTTTTTGAATGTTAAAAATAATGTTTCAAAATGTAAATATCAAAGTATCCAAAACCGTTAACAGTGGTATAATTTTCTTTTGTGTTTCTGAACAGGTTCATTTTCCTACTATGACAGTCTTTTCTAATTTCCCTTTATTCCATCATAATTTCAATCGAGTAAACAGTCTTGATATTTCCCTGAATAGTGGTTACATGTGTTTTGGCAATAACACAGGAACTGCATTCTTATTCAGGTATGGTAATTCACCTATTATTTATTCTGTATGAAAGATGTTAGGATATATGAATATGACAGTTTAGTAATAATACATTCTATATTTATAAAAATTAAACATGTTGATTACTAAGTTACATTAGCCTCTGAAAAATGATAGACATATTTTTTAAAAATAAACGTTTTTCAGAATATGTGTTCCTCTACATCTATATTTAAAGTGTATGAGCTTTGCCATCAGAAACACTTAGCTCATGAATAAATGTAGTTTCTAGTAAGTTATGTCATTTATGAATTCAGACAAATGAAATTTTATTATATTGTGACTTAACTTATGCAAGGAGACTTTTAGATGTTACATGTACTGAAAAATATGGGTGTAATGACTGTGATGTATTGTTATTTTTACTTGAAAAGACTGCTTTCTCTGTCAGGGAAGTTTAAATTGTAACAAAATTTAAAGAAAATTATAACAATTTAATACTGGAAAATTATATATATATATATTTTTTTTTATATTTTGTCACTTTTTTTTTCAGACTGAAACACTATTCAAACTACTGAAGTTTTTGAACATCTTTAAAACAAGACTTATAAAGAACTTCATTAACTGTTGGATTAGTTTGTTGTGAACTATCAGGTGTCAATGCAAACTCAAAATATCCCAAAGCTATGTAAAAAAACTTGTGTTTGAATAAAATTATTTCCATTTTATAAGCCTCGAGATAGTTTTTGGCATTGGTAATACAACAAGAAATTACATAGCTGGTCAGAACTAACAGTAAATTAGGAAATCATAATTATTACAGTATTTTATTGTTTTGATAGAATAGATTAAAAGTTTAGTTTAAAATATTAAAAAAATATTGATTTATCCAAGTAATCTTGGGAATTTGCTTCTGCACTGATGACTATTCTTAATCTTGAAAAATGTAACAGAAGTTTAAATGCATGCACGTCCCCCAGCACTCTGTAAAAATGGTATATTTTTAGAGGGAGTTGGATGTAATAATTTGTGTTAAATCACTCAGTTAAACTTTACCATATACTTAAATTTCTAAATACTAACTATAGTAGTAAATATATATATATACACTCATATTAAATCCATATATATCGTATGTATCTCAAGAAAAATATGTTTTATTATATGGCTAAGAAAATGATTTATAGGATTTAACATAGCTTGAAATTATGTCCTGACATAACATTTTGTATGAAATTGTATGCAGCATATAGTAACGGTAATTTGTAAAATGGAAAATTACTTCTAGTGAAAGAATATTTGATCCCTATAATATTCTAGCTAAATATAGCCTTTTCACCAACTGCCTGTCTGTGTAACTAACTAAATCTGAAAGATTAAATCCTAAACTGAAATTTGTTGATAGGGGGGGGGGGTGAAGACATAATAATACGGATTATGTTCAGCTTCCCATGTTAAAAGTAATGTGAAACCATAATAATGCAAAAAAAAAATATATACTTCCCATATTTGAGTTAATGTAATGTCAGAAATGACAACCATTTTTCTTATACTTTTACAAGCAGAATAAATTCTTTTGCATATTCAAAATAGCTCATATAGTATTCAATAATATAAATTTTTCTGTTTATTTTTTGAAGCTAAGAAATGTGAGCACATAGGTTAAGCGATTGAATGTTTAGGTATGAAACATTAAATCTTGTACTGATTTCTTTTTTGATGTGTAAGTGACAAACTACATATGAATTACCTGTGATAATTATTTTTAGAAAGAACAATGACCATGGAAACCTGTCAAGCTCATTTCTCATATTGATATTTCAAACTGTCATGCACCTTTTCAATACTTGACTTTAAGCCATGTAATAAACAAAATGTCAAAAAGAAGTTCTTTAAGCATTTTGTAAGGCTTTTTTAAACCATAATGAAAAATATGCTGAATGAAATAAATTATAAATTAAGATTTTGTTGAAGAAATTTAATTTTTGAATTTGATAAAAAAGTAACATTTCTTTTTTAACTACAAAGTAGTTTTCTGACAATATGTAACTGTACTTACTGTGGTATGTTCCACATTTGCTCATGTCAGCATGATTGTTAGATTGTGATGAAATTTACAATGATATGAGTCTGTAAAATGTTTGGACAAAAAACTTATAAACCAAGTGTGATGTTTTGAAAAATGTTGTGACCATTTGCCCTCCTGAATTAATCTTACATTAGGAAAATAGTTCCTTGTAGCCACATACACTTAGATGGACATGTTGTCATGCTTGAGATTAAATATGACCAAACATATGAAGCATGACAAGATACAAGAGAACTATTTGTAGTAAAGAATGTTCAACAAAATGTCAGTAATAAAGTGTTGGTTACCTGGGACAGTGAAATTGTCTTAGTACTTTAAACACATTGGACAGTTCCAATAATTTACTGGGGTTCAAATCATGCCACAATGATGAGAAATAGGTTACACATTTTCAGTCAGAGAGATTTTTTTTACTCTGCTATACAACCAAGACTACTGCCATTTCATTGACAGTATTAATTATTGTTGTTAGGACCAGATCTGATGACAGAAACATCATTTGTGGCCATTTATTTTTACAGGTTTTTATCTTAAATTCCATGATCTTCACTGTGCGTGGAGAATGCTATTCGAACTCCATGATATTTGGACATGTAGAATTCAACGGTGGTATGGACACCATTAGCAATACAGCTTTGATTGCTACACATTATAAAGAAAAGATTCTGGCATCCACTGTCAGATCTTTCACTGATTTTATTTTGATGGATGATAATGATCGTCCTCACTATTTATATTCTGTCACTCCATCTTGAATATGAAACTATTGTAAGAATAGAATCACATGCATTTAATTCAGTTAGACCAGCGTTGGGAATAAATTGTATGTGTACCTCACCTATCAGGCATGCTGTATCAGATGTGCAACATCTTGGTGATGGAGTGAGAGAACATTCCCAGAACTCCATCTGAAGAAACGTATAGGGTGCATCATTGTGTTGGTAACTCAAGCAGATATAAATCTTATGAGAGCTCTAACTTCTGATGTTTCTGAGCTGTTGTGTTACAGCATATGTTAGAGTGTGATTGTTTAGCAGTTCCATGTTCTTTGTGTTCTAGGACACCATTACATTTCATTTTCGTCTACAGTATGCAAGTTAGAATTTAAGTACTAATCATGAATCTATTGTCTGTGATCACAATATTATTCAGTACAAAATTTGTTTTCTTATAATTCTTTACATGCATTCTTTTTTAAATGAGATGAAAGAAATGAAGGGTTCAGTTGCATTGTGCTCTATAAAAATAAATTTTACAAACTTTTAAAAACAAATTTAAAGGCAAAACGAAAACCAAGAAAGCCTAAACTGTAAGTAAATATAATATTTATATTTACTGTTTTTAGACTGTTAATTCTCTGCTGGAATCATAATTTGTGCTCTTTCCATTTGCCCATCGTGACAGAATGCATCTACAGAAAGTGTTCTTTGTCAAAAACTTGTGTAGAATAACTTTTTTTCAGTAATGAAGTATTGTCTAGGTCATTATTAATTTCTGTTGCTTATAAAGTAGTTTATCTATATTATGTGGCTCATGTTCATTCTTTGGTTCATTTTAAAATAATCCATTTGTTTTTAAAATATATATATATATTGTAGAATGTAACAAGTATAATGAATGTGTTAAACTTATTTCTTCATATCATTTCTTGTTGGTTTATCCTAGGACACAATTTACATATAGCTGTAGTATCATTAGAACAGACTGTTAAAAGTATGCATCTCAACGATAAGTTAGATGTCAGTATATACTTAAGCAATATACGCTCATAAGTTTTTACATATTCATTAACTTGCATAACTTCGTGAATTTATAAAAACGCATGAACTGTCGTTTGGTGCTTGTTTTCAGTAGTAACCGAGTGGTGGTTTGTGACGAAGATTTATATGAAGAGTTAAAAATCGCTTTATTGACAAATGACGAATTTAATAAAGTTGCATAAATAAGTATTAATACAATTGTATTCTCCCTCAACACGTCATTGTGTAGTTGTGAATAATATTAAATTAAGTCTTGAATCTTAACTGCACTTTCTATAAACTATCCCGTGCATTTTGTCAGATTATTTGTATTATTGATACCATTTTGTGAAAGTTGGCTATACAGTATCTAAAAGTGCCGCGTGACAGTTCAACCATGCTATCCTCTTCAAGTTACCCAGAATGCATCACTGATACGTCGACGTCGATGTTACAAAATTTTATTGCTGTAATCCGGAGACATTTCATTAGAAATACATGAAATGATTTTGAGATGTGTTTGGTCGCTGCCATTAGTTTAGATGTTGTTTTTAAAAATTAAATTCAATGGATAATTGTTACTTTATGCATACTTCTTTATTTTAACGTTGGCTAAAAAAAAAGACATTTTTCTTTCACACCAATATCTTCATACAGCGGAAGCTCAACCTATGCAGTTTGTGTTTAATTACGTGTACTTTTCCGTTCAGAATGTTATGCTCAAACTGACATCCGCATATGTACGTCCATGATATATATATATATATGTAAAACTACACAGAAAATATCATCCTTAAGCTTCATAAGGTGATTACTTGATAGGCAAAACAATGTACATTGTAATTCTCCACGTTTTAAAAATATATTCAACCACCTTTCGTCAATTTTGCAGGCTTAGGCGATTCATAGTACAATTCTTAAACTGGAAATAGCTGTTAATTTAGATATGCAAGGCTTAAACAGAACCAAAAAAACATTGTTTACACCCAAACTATTTACTTGGGTTTTGATACCCGCGGCTGGCAGAGTACAGATATCCCATAGCGTAGTTTTGCGCTTAACAACAAATAAAAATGTTACATCGACACTGATGCATCCCGCTGTCCGTAGTGTCACCTCGACAGTCTGTATTATGTGTCAAAATAAGAAAAAATGAAGTCACATAAATCTTGAGACGAGGACTAATACTCCACCAATGTTTAATATGTGTGATAAAGGGGCTTGTCTTATTAATATATGTAACTAAGTGTTCCTAAATTAATAATAATAAAGTGTTTAAACGGTCGAAAACCTTGTAATTTGTTCTAGGTTTATAAATTTTAAATTAGTAATTACAGTACTATAAGAACTTTAATAAATCCATAATGAATGTTGGATAAAAGTTCGTGAAAATTAATGATATGTACACACACACACACACATATATATACACTCACACACACAAATATATATATATATATACACACACACATACGTAGCGACTAGAGGAGTGTTGTATCTGTCGTATTTCAGATGGCCTAATGAGCCATGGTATTAAATGAAAGAACTCGTGGGCACTTTATATAGCAGATGTAGAGTGACTGACATATTATAACATATTCTCATTTGTTTTCACTTATGGGTTTTTAAAACTTGCACGCTGTAGGAAAGCCAGTCAGAAACAAGAATGAAGAACAAGGAAGAATGTGGATTTTAGAGCGGAAAATTTCCTCGTGGAATAAAATATGTTATGAATCATGTAGTTGTATGACTGTGTCGAATAAATTTCCATGAACTAATTTTGTAATAGTTTAGCATTGCGCAAAAGTAAAACACATATGCTTGGGGGAAAAGCCAGCACTTAGCAGGGTAGTAGGCATAAATTTATAAACGGGAGTATTACTTCTGGAGGAAAAAGTAAATG